TACGCCTTGAGAAACTTCTGCCTAAAATGTTAGTGACAGATGCACATTTATAGGCGGTTGGCACCTACGAATATTTTTTTGCTCTTTGAAAAATTTAGTTGAGGGCTTGAATCTGGGGTACCATAATGCTGCAAGACATTTCAGAAGTGTCTGGTTGTATTCTTCAGAGTAAAATTTTGCTGATACTGGCCAGTACCCGACTAATATTCCCGCAAAAGTTGCGAGTAGAACTGTTACGGAATACTAGAGATGACTGAACGAGTTTTTCAGCAACAAAGGATCAGATAAAAAGCAAGCACAGTGGTAAACCTATGTATTTGTTTTCACGTTTTGTAACGCGAACATTCGTCGTAGAACGGTAAACAGTTAATCCGCTGTCCGTCTATTATTACATACGAAATCCGTTTAAGACCCGACAGAAGTATACACATTTTAATGACACCCCACACCACACTATACTTTGAGTGGCACTGAAACAGAGTTAGAAGTGCATATCCCACTAAAGATAGATCTGTGAAGGTTTATTGAAAAAATCAGTTTTTCCGAAAAGTTTTTCGTGGAAGAAAGCTACCAAAAGACGATTCTTATCTTCGTCAGCATTTGACAACATAGGCGGTAACACCTGAAAATATATTTCCAGTAACCCACTCAACATATAACCTGGTATCTCGAGTAGTTGACAGAGTAAAATAACTTCAACTAGGTGTCGTTTTGTTCTTTTCTTTCCTCGCTCCCCTCTCTACACCTCCCTCTCCCTCTTGTTTTTCTTGCACCATTCCGCGTCCCTTACCCTGAGTAGGATGACGTGGAAGGGTGAAGAATGATACTGGAAATTCGATGGAAGCCTTCGTTGTTTATTAACGAAACAAATACAAAGTTGATGACTACTCGTGCGCTTCTAATTGACTATTTTTCGAACTTAGCTCCGTTTTTGGTAAATATACAATTAAGGTCGTCGGCGAACTTCTGAAACCTCTTTTTTATCCTGTCAAACAAATGCAAAAAGTTTTAAGTCGGGGAGAATGTGCAGTAAAAAGAACTATTACGAAATATAACCTCTAAGGCATGCACTGCTTGTCCGATGCAAATTTGCCCAGCGGCTAATAAAGCTTTTGAAGAAGAAAGTCACATCACCAACCTCTCGTACCAAATACTATAACTACTTAAAAAAACGATTACCATGCTACGCAAAGAATTCCTCAAGAAATTTAATTTTTCCCAGTAGGATATACCGTTATTAATCCTCACGTAGTAGAAGAAAATCAAGATGAACTATCCAAGATGGATTTCACACATCGAACGACTACCTTTTCCTTAAACCCCCTTAAACGTGACGAAACAACCCATTGCTAATGGCCGACATAAATCTTGTCCAAAATAACAAAATATTTCGAATAAAATGTATTTCGAAACGATTTTTTCGAATTAACACAGCATTTACGAAAAAAATTCGTAAATGCGTAAAGTTTCCACTTTCTGAAGGTGCCGTAGCTTTTTCATCAAGGTGCTTCTGCACAGTTGGCATAAATGGTGGTCTTCCTGTACTTGCTTTTAACTTTTTGCTTTTTAGAATAGCAGTTGGTAGTTATCTAGATGGTAGGTTATGAAAGTGTTGGTAATTTTGAACTCATAAACAAATGAACTCACTCTTTACTTTTGCAACAACAGAGATACCAAGTTTCCACCTGATGGCACAAACGAATTTCGGGATAGAATCTGAGCTTAAAAAATTCGTCATAATTGTTTAGAAATCTGTCAGCGAGTCTTATATCCTGAAATTCACCCTCCTCTTCATATCGATAGAGCAGTTAACTGTCTAATCCTGAAAACAGGAGACTAAATAATACTGACAAGTATCTAATAACTATCATTAGCTTTTTGTTGTCTGCTCACTACCGTATTCTTGTCATCGATAGCTGCGAAATTTGTGTAAATTTTGGCTGCTGAATCAATGGATGGAATGATGATTCTGCAGTCAGTTGTTTTAGTGCTGCATGTAATAGGCCTTGTCATTAGAAGCAGTATTCTGACGTCTGAATTCGTTTTCATAGAACGTTTTTGCCATTTTTTCGTTCAAGGGGAAAAAATAAATGTGGAATCGAGTTTCGGGACAGTATGAAACGTAGGAATTTTTTGTTCCCACCACTGACAGTACTTTCATATTTTCCCCGATGCTGTTCATGATGAAAACAAACAAATCCGCGACAACAGCAACAATAACAACGACGACGAAAAAGTGCCTCTAAATGCAAAAATTTTAAGTGGAAAATAAATTATAGCTAACCCTACTGTTTCTTTTTTCTTTTTGCAAATTTATCATGAAAAAAAATGCACCATGCATAGTTTCAAATGTTAAATACTTAGCATTGAAAAAAAGCAATAATCAAAAAGTTCATGCTTTATACATAGATTGCAGTTTCGAAATGATTAATTGATATATTAGTTGGGTGTAATAGGAAAAAAAGGAGAACAAAAAATAACAGTGGCATTGTTTTCTACTATTAGAATTTCTGAAAAGTTTACATTTAGAAACAAATTTAAAGCTGTATAATTGTTTTGCAAAATAAGGCTACCAGTAGGAGAGGTGCCGTTTAGGGATTGTTAAGAAAAACACCAAAAAAACAAAAAAACAAAAAAAAAAAAATAGAATAAAAAAATAAAATAAAATAAAAAAAATGTTTACATTTTTATGCAACATCGAAGATGAATGTTGCTATTTTTTGCAATCGCAATGCTTTTTTCTTCTTTCTTTCAATTTTTCTCCATTTCATTCAATACCATTTGGTAGCCTTTTTTTCGTGCAAGACCCTAAGAGAATTGAAAGAAATACTCATTTACATTGACTTTAAAGATTTTATATATATATATTTATATTTATATTTATATTGATTTATTTATTTATTCGTTCAGCTAGATATTTATGTACTATTTTTATGTTTGTTGACTATTAATTTTTTTTCCTGCTTTATCGATAACGAGGGGTTTGTTTGTCGGTTAAGCAAGCCACCGTTATTGAATGCTAAGAAGAGTAAGCTATATCAAATCTGTAATCAACATTCATCAGTTAAAACCATTTTAATCATCCGTTTGTCAACTGTTTTTTTTTTTTTTTTTTTACAAACTTTTTTCTTCTGCGGTGGACTTCTTATTTTGCTCCCCTTTGATAATCATCTAACACACAAAAAAAATTTTTTTCTTTAAGTCACGGCTAGCGAAAAAGGAAGTTTGATATTTTGCAATCGGTGCTGTTAAGTATTTGTTGACTTGCATTTCTGATGACCATCCTGATTTTTTCTTCCCTAGCATGCTAACAATGATAATAAGCATAGAAAAATCTAGCTACAATCACAGCAATGAATGCGCGCGACACACACCCATTACACTGCCACTACCCTTGTACAGACTACCTATCAATCATCTATTATTCAATCAACAAACTTTACAGTTTGTGCCTTCACACTGATAGCTTTATGCCCAACTTGTTCTCATTTCATATTCACTCAACACACACCAGCACTCTTGAATTAAACACCATGATTCCTTTAAGTACATCCTGATAACAAAACCTACCTTCTCAGTTCTGACAGTCACAGAGCCAGGCGCACTTGTCAACACCTGTTAAAGCAATTCAACAGCCAAAAATACCCTCCAGTGAATACTC